GACAAGTCATCCTGGCCAACTCATCACAGGGCCAATTCACTACGGGACAATTCAATGCAGGATAACTCAAGAGAGGGACAAGTGAATTGTAGCAGGCCTTGTCTTGATTTAGCTTTGAACCTTCTCAAGCTAGAAGTCCTTGAGGTGATCCGCAATTCTTCCTGTCCTTCTCGAGTGTCCCACATTGAATTATCCTAAAGCAAACTAGCTACATCAACTTGTCCGGTGGCAAGTCAGACAGAGCTAGTTGTCCCTTTCCACACTGGGGAAACTTATTACTAAACAGCAAGAGGAACCCTACATTATTCCAGTGGTAAATAGGCATTCACAATATACCACATGCCTAATAATAGCAAAACTCTAAAGTATTAGCACAACCTGAAGCTTTTAATTTTAACAGTATGGTACAGGAGTGAGGATTTGGTCCTACTGTATCATTTTATTTTATTAAGTTCACAAGATCAATATCCTAAATCAGTTGATCAGTGTTTAAAGGAAAGAGATAAAATAAAATTTAAAATTGCATTAAAAGTAAAAAGATAAGAATTGTGACAACCTAATGACTATACTAAACCCTGAGCAACTATTAAGTCTTTGAAGGTAACTACTGTAGCACAAAAGATAGAAATTGTATGGCTCTGTATGTGATGGGCCTCTCTTTCTGCTAACATGGGTAAAAATCACTGGTGTATACAGCCGCTATGGGAAGTGCCCCTTTTTCTAGGTGTTGTTGACTCCTTATCAGTCCCATCAGCTGGGGGAATTTGCTTAAAGTTCTACTATAGTAATTACAGAATTATAGTTCTATTTCAGAAAACTACCAGGTTGCTCTTTTTTCCAGTGAACACCCAACATTGGTGAAGAAATTATTTCTATGCTAGAGTTGTAAGAAGCGCAGGGACATTTTATGAGCTTAAAGATACATTGAGATCAAAACAGCTACTTTACCTTGGAAAACAAAGAAGGGTGGGTTGGATGCCATCTTGTAATTTTTATACAAAATTAGATTTGAGCAGATCTTCCATAAAGTGACATGGAGGATGCTCTATTCTCCTTTATTTTCTACATCATTATGAAACAATTTTGCAAGCATCATCTTGTGCATCCCTTAACAACTTTTAGCAACACCTCATGAACTTAATCTGGTCAGCATAAAAAACATGTAATCACATAATCACCGAAATAACACTTTGCTTTTAAAATGTTTGCCACAAGAACAAGCTGGCAATTCCACATTTTAAAACAAAATAGGAATGCTGTGAGTATTTTGCAGAGAGTATTTTGCAGAGAGATATATATTGGCTATAACATCCTTTTTCTACCTGATACTCTCCCATTGTGTTTTAGATGAGCTCTTGAAATAAAGATTATAAAAAGGAGCAATCACCTAGAGGACACTTTATAAGGAAAAAAATGGCCTAAATATCTGAATAGTTCAGATAAATGTACAATATAAAGCCCTTAAAGTAATTCAATCTTTGAACCAAGGGTAACGTTCATCAATTTATTATTTTTAGAACTGTATGTGGAAACACATTTTCCTCCAGTTAATTTGGCTTCTCCTTAAGGCAAGTGCTAAGCTTAAACTTTTTTTTAAACTGAAACTTAAGCTTTTGCTTGCATACAGTTAACTGCTCTGCACATACAATACTCAGATGCATTAACACCCACCCATCCCTGATTTGCAGGAGCAAAGAATCAGCTTTCCAGTACAGTTTTGAATTCTCAATAACTTTCCCTCCAGAGAGCGAAGGGGAAAGAAAACTAGCACAGAGAAAAGAAAGCAAACCTGAGTTCATTTGAAGAGCCCCCACATAAGCAAAGTAAAGAACCCAACCACACAGAAAAAATGTTAAATAAATAATTTTAAAGAAAAAAAAGTGGAGCAAATATATACAAGTTCATCTTCCTACTTTTTTTTCAAACGTTTCTAAATTCTTCTTGTGCTCTCTTTTTATGGATACTTAAAAGTACTTTGCATTTAAGATGTATTTGTCAAGCTTTCCGCAATCTGAGTGTCAACTAAAAAGATACTCCGTTGGTCTTTTTAGCTGCCAGAAAAAGGGAGTGGGGGAAAACAAGGCATTCCTTAAATGCCTAGATAATCACCCCCAGTAGCCCAAAGTTGTGGGAGCGTAAGAAGGTTATTGGAGAGCCTGATGGATGACTCTTAGAGATGGATGTGTCCCATTGGAGAAGTCACATGGAGAAGGGGTGGGGGGGTAGACCAGGGTCAAGGGGTAAATGTATGATGTAATTTAGTATCGGCTGCATCCAGCTTACGCCAACATGGCCACTCCTAATAAATCAATTTATTCTTCTCTGAGATGTGGCCAGAGACTTTTGATTTGAATGAAGGTGAATTTATTGGAGTCCTGAGACTGAGCTCCTCCAGATGTTTTCTGACTTACAATCTAAAGGACATGCTTGGCGGGAGGATCATGGAAATTAGAGATGCTCGATCCATTTAGAGGTACCAGGATGTGAAGGAAGTCTTACAGTAGCATAAAAATAGGATATACTGAAATGAATAGCAGCAATGAAGAATCTCAACCATGCTAGGATTTGGGGGAATAGCTTCCAGAGTTATTTGCTACAGGTAATTCTCAATTTGTGATCGCAATTGAGCCCAAAATTTATGTTAAGTGAGAATTTATTAAGTGAGTTTTGCCCCATTTTATATTTCTTGCCACTGTTAAGTGAATTATTGAAGTTGATGAGTTAGTAACCTGGTTGTTAAGTGAATCTGGCTTTCCCATTGACTGTTTGTCAGAAGGCTGCAAAAAGTAATCACATGACCCTAGGATGCTGTAACCACCATAAGTATGAACTAGTTGCCAAGCACCTGGATTTTGATCCTGTGATCATGGGATACTGCAAATGCTGTGGTTATGAGAAACGGTCATAATGCACTTTTTTCAGCGCCATCGTTACTTTGAAGAGTCACTAAATGAACTGTTGTTAAGTCAAGGACTACCTGTATTTTGCTAGATGTACTGAATTGAGAAGACCACATATCTCAGAGAAGACTTTCACTAGGAAAAGCCATTCTTCCTCTCTGGGCTCCAGTAAGCCTTCCATTGTGAAATAACCTCACCATTGCTCATTTAGCATAAATGAGGATTTAAAAAAGGCTCACTTAGGTAGTAAATCCTCAGCTGGACCTGCCACAACTGAAACATCTTGTCTAACTCTAAAGCTGATTCCATAATGTGTAACATTATGTGTTTAGAATTGTCAGTATAGATGGGGATATTGTTATACTTTATTAACAATCAGCAATAAAGCACCTGTCAAATTCTAAGAGAATCCCTCTTCTCTTCCCAAAAACCTTCAGAATCTTACAAAACCTTGAAATTCTGCTATAGTTCATATGACTTGGGAAACGCATTTGAGCTGTCATGTCATCTTGCATGATGGCCCCAAGGATTGGAGAAAGTTGCTGCTCTAATAACTAGACAAGTGACTTCCAGAGCCTGTGGTTAGGCTTTGAGTAGCTTTATCCAGGACCAGATCATTGTAATCAGGTTTCAGAATTAGGAATTTTCCACGTAACATGTATACTTTTTTAAAAACATTTAATTAAACAAGAAGAAATTATCTCCCCTTTAGTATTTGATGATTGGTCTAATATCTGGAGAGGACGTTTCAGGGACAAACAGTTAGATTGGGTTATGGCTCAACTTTAGATTAGCTTATTGGTTCAAGCACTAAGTGCTTCAACTTTAATATAAATATTGTCACTATCAGTAGGAAGATGAAAACCCCAAAATGATCACTATCTATTCTATTCTATTCTATTCTATTCTATTCTATTCTATTCTATTCTATTCTATTCTATTCTATTCTATTCTATCATCTATCTATCTATCTATCTATCTATCTATCTATCTATCTATCTATCTATCATCTATCTATCAATCATCTATCTATCTATCTATCTATCTATCTATCTATCTATCTATCTATCTATTCTTAACTAATGTTTTTTTTCCCCTTGTAGCTCCATGTAGAATAATTTTTGAAGCTTCATATATTATAGTACATATAATTACCACATTATCATTTAGGTTTCCTTTTATGTTCTGGAATATGTTTCATTACAAAATAGGTTAACATTAATATTTGTTAACAAGAAATACTTATTTTACTTAGCTTCTCTGGAAGCAGAAGAAATGCTTCAGATATGCTGCTATTTCTTGAGAAGTGTTAGAAGAGTTTAATTACCCAGTTGAAAAAAGTATTTTCCACTTATTTTTATATCTAGCTCCACCAGCATCCACGTGTATGCTACTTAGCAAAACAGTAGAAGCTAATATCAGGGTCCAATCTTTTGGAATTTGAACAAATAATGCCAAAAAACATTCCAGCCATGTTAATTTTCACTGCAGTCTCCTCTCTTAACAAACTATATACATATCTACAGGACAGAGGGGGTCATTATACTCCTCTTAACAGGATGCATGCTTAACAATATGAAGCAATTTCATTTATATCTAAGACATTGATCATCAAAGTTCACACATACCCCCCAAATTTTTAATGTCTAAGTGCAGCCTGAGTTTTTTTTTTAATAATGTTGACATCTCATATCTTAATGTATTAAGCTTCTAGTGTTGTGTTTTCTTTCTTCTCCTTACTCCCTAATAAAAAGCTGCAGAAGGAAAACACCCATGTAGCAGTCCTTTCCAAATTATGCCCTCTAGATGTGTGAAGATTCAACTCATGTAGCAGGCCAACTAGCATTACCAATGTGAAACATATCTGGAAAGTAGGAAGTTTGAAGAAACCTGCGTTATTAAATGGAACTTTTCCTTTTGCAGCTTTTTGAAGAAATGGCAAGTGCCATTTTGAAGAAATGTCATTTTGAAGAAATGACAGGTTAACAATGTTAACCAAATAAAAACCAATTTTCCTTTCTTACAGTAACTGGCACTGTTGATAAGAAACAGGCTAACAGCAAGCAGTCCTTAAAAGTAAAAATTATACTAGATGCGCCATTGCTGCTAGATCATTTTTATTTTAACATAAGAATATATTTTTGCAAAATCTGTTCCACCACGTGGATAGTAGGTACAAAGAAAACAAACCCGTCACCTTTGCTAGACATCACAATGAGTAATGAAAGACACTAGCTTCTGAGTTTCAGCACTGTCATAAATAAGTAATCAATAACAGATCTTAATACTCTACTACTGTTGGATTTCTGACAAGGAGAAAAATAATCGGAAATGAGGCAGATTATTATTATTTTTAGACACATTCCTTGTTTTCTTCACTTCTGCCCTCATGTAACTTCACAGTAAGCCGTTTGTGCTCCAAGAGGCGTAATTCTCTGGCCAGGAGTGCCAGTGGGGAAGCTGGAATTCAAACCGCAGCACCCACTGCAAAATCAAAGGCATTTCCTCTGTTTCTTCCTCTTTTCTTCTACCCTAATCCTGTGTCTACTTCATTAAAGGCATTTATAAACAATTGAGAGAAATCTGATTATTCTTTTCATAGCTGTAGCTTAATATTTCTGATATTGATATAGCCCTTTCAATGAGCAAGTCAAACTCCCCCAATGGGATAGTTTGATGTTAAAGTGCATTTGCCATCATCTTAAATGAGTGTCACCTCGAATGAGGCTTTTATTGTCCTTCTGAATCAGAATCCTTTCCTACCAGAGAACAAATGAGGAATGCCTTTTCAGTGTGTGCCTGCATCTATTTTCAGATTCTTGAGAAGAAATAATAACAAGATTAATTATCATACGTTTCAGCTTCCTCTTGTCTCTTTGCAAGCCCAGAGCTGGTTATATTTTGCAATCCTGTGCAATGTACCCATTGAGAAAAAAAGCTGTCCTGCAATCTTAACCTGAAGATGCAGCCAGAACAAAGAAAGTGGGGTTCTCACTCTGGTATTTCACAGCTCACCAGAAAAAAGAGGAAGGGAGAGAAAAGACCCCCACCCCAGCCAAACTCAATACTTGTTGATTCCAAAGATACGGACACCATGCAGCTGAGGTAACTTGGGGATCAAGACGCTCATCAAAGAGATGGTGTTGATGATGAAATGTATCCGGTCATATTTTGTGTAGAAACTGGTAAAAAAATAACTGGAAAGGAAAGGAAAGGAGTTTCAGTTTTACAATAGTGCTTAAAATACTTTCAAATATTTGTCTCTTGTCCTACACCAGGGGTCTCCAACCTTGACAACTTTAAGACTTGTGGAAAGCAAAGCTGACTGAGGAATTCTGGGAGTTGAAGTCCACAAGTCTTAAAGTTGCCAAAGTTGGAGAGCCCTGTCCTACACAACTGGATGATATCAAAGGGTGGGGGAAAAATGCTATCTGCAATCTGTTTAGAGACTGTCTTTTGCAGTGATCATTAGCAATTATGAATGTGGTGGAAAAATAATTTTAGAACCAATCCTCACATTTACAATCTCTGCAGGTCTATAAAGGAAAGCTGAAGTAAGACTGTAGTGACCAAACTGCCATACCCAATTGTGGTAACTAAAGGAAGATTAGAGAATTATTTCAATTCCACCCAATGATTTTTGAAAATCCCAACCAAGATAGCAGTAATGCCACAGCATTATAAAGTCCTCCAAAAAAAAAAAATCTCAGAGAATTATATTGCACATAACTCTGAGACTATCCTATCTACTGCGTCTTTTAAAGAGTAGGTAGAAAAAAGAACAATCCTATATGGTTATTGATTCTATGTGGCCTCTGGCTAATCCTTTCCACTTGGAGGACTGAAGGAAGGCAGTAAAACATAGGATGCAAAAAAAAATTTTTTTTTTGCCACTCCTTTGTAGTGGCTTCACTGATCTCTTTTGCAACCCAATTTTTTATTGTCATCTGAAGATAGAAATTGGGGCAAGAAGAAAACAGGGATTATGAACATTTGGAAATAACTAATGTACAAAACTGGCTACCACAAGATGGGATGAAGATGCCTACTTGAACAGGGGATAAACCTGAGGAAGAGAAGTTGATGAATGCTGTTGATGAACTCAGGGAAGAGACTATGTCCCCATGACTTGCTACTGGTTTTCAAATTGTCATCAGGTTGGGAAGTATATAAAGCAATAATTGCTTTTCCACATCCACTATGCTTTCATGTGGGGTTTTTTTTTGCCATTAGTATCTTGTGCAAACCAGCAAACTATGGTTAATTCAATAAAGCATATTTAAGCATACAAGCATGAATGTGATACACATTTTGCATTGAAGCAAGATGTATTGCTTCAATGTAGGAAACAGAATGCTGGATAGATAAGCCTTAGGTAAGATCTAATCCAGCAGGACTCTTTATGTTCTTAGGTTATATGATTTAAACTAAGGCTGTGAACCAGTAATTAGGAATGTGTAATTTCCCCTTCCCCCATCTGCTGACCTACAACTCTTGGCAAAAATTTCATCAGCGAGGCCAACAGAGAAGGAGACTGAAAGATGTAGTTCTAGACTGCTCTACACTTGACATAACTATGAGGTATCTATGACTTTGCCCATCTTTGACAACTATAAAACGTGCATACAAAATGTTTTACGTGTCTCAGAGTTGACTATGCCCAGGCAAATTCCAGAATGTTAACCTCTAATAAAATCCAAAGAAGTTTTGGGAGTGTGGCTCGAGGCTCATGATTTAATTGGAGTAACTGCTGGAATCCTGACAATCTTGTTTTAAATGGTCTTCCATCCATAGCTTGAATCCCCCTGTTTCAGTGCAAATTGCAGCACTCCCTGCATGCTGAAATTGGAAAATAACAATAGAAGAGGATTTCCAACCACGGTCTCTTTGGTACTCACAGTATAATTGGTGTGATAGTCAAGAACTTGCGAGATGCAGTGAACTGCACTCCATAGTCCATCTGTTCCCAGTGAGTGAGCAGCCGGGCCTTACCCTGATCAGGAGTCTCAAACGGCGTTCCTTTCACAGTGTGTAAGAAAATGTACATACACTGTAAGACAACATAAAGGGTTGGTAGTTTAGTTGGACATTTTAGCTTGCTTGGCTGCATATTTTTCTTTTGGTTAGCGGTTTAAGCGATGAGAAAGGTGAAAATGACATACGTTACAATATTCTTGCAATGGAAATGATACAATAAGGGAAAGTGCTGAGTAAAGTCCAAAACCACTGTTTCAATAAGAATTAGTGCACGGTAACTAAAAAAATAGAAAGGAGGCTTAATCTCATCTCAGGTTCCTAAGATATCACTGACACAATGACAGGCTATGATTGGTTTTTTTTTTTTTTAGTGGTTGTTTCACTGCTAAAAATTGTAGCTATTTCATAGAATGAAACTATCAGTATGGGTTGTCCTTAGTCCATTCATTTAATAACCATTTGAGTTTACAACTGTACTTCAAAAATATGTAACTCCTTGCATTTATAACTGCAGTAGCTTCTCCACAATCACGTGAACAAAATTCAGGCACTTGGTAACTGGCACGTACTTAGCATCCTGGAGTCATGTGTGATTACCATTTGTGACCTTCCCAGCTGGATTTCAATCAGAAAAGTCAACTGAGCAAATTGGATTTATTTAATGACTCTTTGATTCATTTAACAATCATGGCAAAAAAAGCTTGTAAAATCAGGTGCTTAACTGCCTTGCTAAAGGACAGCATAGAGCCCGGGTGGGCGGGCAGGCCAAACAGCAGACCAAAACCTCATCCCAGTGAACTGGTTCAGTGTAGCTGCTCTTCAGAGCTCCTGCTTCTATAGAACCGGTAGGATCCCACCCCTGACTACCTGTACATGATACAACAAGGGCTTTCTGCTTACTAACACCTTATTAAAATAAGCTAATAAGCTAGACTTGGCCAAGGTCACCCAGCTGGCTTCTGGGTGCAAAAGAGGACTGGAATTAGATGTCCTTGCTCCTGTTCCATTACCTTAACCACAGGTTGACTCTCAACCTAAGGAGCAATGTAACCCCCCAAAGGGCAAGAACGCTAGCTTTGAGTAGACATGTTTTCTTGAGAGAAGAATAACAGTCAGTATGAAATTTCTTTACATCCATGGAAATGACTACTGGCAAATTTTATACTATAATCCTCCCTGGTTCTTTTTGATTTAGGTATTTCATTGGTTTGCAGCCAGGAGACAAGAGCTGTGACAAAGAGTTCTTCAGCATCATCATATATCAGAGCCCACTGGGGAGCTAAACTACAGACAATAGAACATAAGTGGAAAGCCAGATCTGGGGCATACAAATTGATGGAGACAGATCAAGGAGGAGAGAAGCAAAAATTAGTCTCCAAGAGGCTAGAGAGGATAAACTGACAGAGGTACTTAATAGGCTAGAAATTGGCACAAGGAATGATAGCCACTGAGATGATTAACATCTCATCTTCCCTAGGCTAGTGTTGATGTGTGAAATATCAGCACCAGGCAAAGGTGGTGATATTTTTCTCTGTGTGCGAAGCAGTCAAATATGCCTGAGCAGGTGCAAATGTTCTGGCAATAAAGCTGCCCTTTGCTGAGCAAGAGATTTTGGCATAATCTTTGGGTTGTAGGCAGGGGTGGGATTCAATTTTTTTAACAACTGGTTCTGTGGGTGTGGCTTAATTGGTGGGCATGGCTTGGTGGTCATGTGACTGGCTGGGCGTGGCCAACTCAACATCACTCACATCAAGGCATGCATCTCCTCGCCTGGCCTCTCATGACTGTGGGGATGCTGCAACAGTCGTAAGTGTGAAAAATGGTCATAAGTCACTTTTTTCAGTGCCACTGTAACTTTAAATGGTCACTCCACCAAGCAAAGTACCAGCAAAGGAGGGGGAAAAAAACTCCAGAGAAGTTCCTGAGACAGGAAGTCTAGTCCTGCCAAGAATGTAAAAAGGGTTAACGGAGAGGCAGTTTCTGTAAGCAACGCCAGAATGTTTCCTTCCTGCCTTCCTTACAGGATTAGGCCAGTAATTTCTTCTAACAACCAGTTCTCTGAACTGCTTAGAATGTTAACAACTGGTTCTAGCGAATAGGTGCGAACCTGTAGAATCCCACCCCTGGTTGTAGGATAATAGATGGATCAGACCCTTATAGCCCACTCTATATTTCAAGAGTAAAAACACTGAGTAAAATGACTGCAGATTATGTTACATTTTAGCAGGGAAACACTAAGTTATATTTTCCACTTTTAACAACTACCAACGGGAGTGCAAAGCCCCAATTGGCAAGTAGATTCTTATATGACAAAATTGGTTTTACGCAATCTTTCTGGCCTGCAATTGGGCTGCAGCTCTCCATGTTTCACTCAGTGCTCCACTTGTACAACCATTTCAGCAACTACTGATCGTCTAGTAGAAATGGTCAGGTAGAAGGACATGAAAAGATGAACTGAGGGGACCTTACTCCAAGATGCAAATCAGCTTAAATGACTGGCTGATCATATTGAAACAGAAAAAAGCCACTTTCCCGAAACTGCTCACAATTGTTATACTGTAGTTTTTAAGGTATTACTTTCTATTACATTTTGCCTTATGTTCTCCATGAAGTTCATTTGCATGCCATATTTGGTTTACTTAGGCAATTTTTCCTATTCTTACAGGAATATAAGAATTTGGGGTTTTTTGGGTGGGGGGTTGATTCTCCCTCCACCTCATATATACAAGCAATCCTTGCTTAATGATTGCCCCATTGAGAGACCATTCAAAGTTACAATACCACTGAAAAAACAATTTTATGACTGGTTCTTATACAACCATCGCAAGGTCTCCATGGTGATATGATCATTCCAGTTGCTTCACAACTCACCGGGAGCTTACAACTCTCATAATGTTCTGCGATTTGTACACATCCCAGCTGACTTCTGCTAAGCAGAGTCAATAGAGAAAAGAACAGTAGAATGACAAGTTGTGGTCACCTAATGTTTCGTTCAATGATCCAGAATGATTCACTTAACAACCAGGGTGGAAGTGAGGTCATAAATCTGTTACAATCATGTGATGTCTTGTTTAACAGTTGAGTCACTTAGTGATGGAATTGCCAATCCCAACTGTAGCTGTTAAGCAAGGACTACCTGTAATCTAAAATGTACATAAATCCAGGAAGAGTAGTGTGAATGAACATGTGTATATCAGTCAGATCTGATACATACCCATGGCTTAATATTTCACTGTAGGACAAATTAACATTGAACCAATCTGACTCTATTTATCCCATCTATACTGGGCTTAGTGAATCTATCATGACTATAGTTCTCAAAACAGGGATAGGCAGCCATTAATTAATTCTTCTGAACAACTCAATCAAAGGCAAGAGAGTGTAGAACTGCAAATCTCCAACTTCCTAACTCTCCTTTAAATAACTGTTTCCTACTGAAGGTAACCCAGGAAATGTGAATTAATCTTGATTATTCACCAACACATCAAAGTTGATTTTGCAAACTAATACAAACTAAACCAAGATTTTTTTCTCTGTAAAGGGAAATGATAGTTATAAGCTAAGCATGTTAGAAAGCAGCGTGAATGCCACTTTGACACTTTACTGGGCTTTGATTTAGTAAACTAAGATCTTTATATGGGAATATTCTGCTTCAAATACCTTACTCAGCTAATTCCACTGCTACCCTTGTTCCAGGTGATGTGATGGACATTTTCACTAGATAATTAACCCATCATCACATTATCCTAAAGTGCCAGATAGAGATAAGTGCCAGATAAGTGCCTGAAAGAAAATAGGAGCAGACACATCAAATGGGGCCCCAAATCAACAATTGTTTAGCTGAGATGTATGGCTAGTTTCCAAATTGAGCCAGGAATCTAGGTAGGATGATGAGATCTTCAAGGAAGCACTCAGGTTTAGGAAATGGATTCCTAGATAGAAAAGATTATACCCACTGGCTGTAGGGCTGTGCAACAATTGCACCTGAATTCCCTACAGCAACCATTCATGTGACTGTTCCCCCCCTTCCCATTTGCTTAGAGGCTACAGAGAGGGACCGCCATTTTGGCTCCTTCTAGTATCTGTTGCAGAAGCATCTGTTTGTGAAGCCAAAGAATACTTTCATACCATGTTGTGAATGAGGTTGGTCAGGGTCCAGACAACAGGAACACTTAAGAAAGGAATGCTGAGCAAAATCACATGCAGGAGGCCAATTCCCAAGATGTAGGAGAGCCAGATGCCACGGCTGTTCATGACTCGGGTATTTGGGTTCACTTCACTGTGCGCTGTACCCACATTCATCTTTCTGGCACAGCAGCCCTGGAATGGATCATAGAGCAACAAAGGTGCATCAAAGACAACATGCAACTTCGCTATGCCAAAGAATAACATCAATTTGCTTTCTTCCATATCAGTTAGGCAACAATTCTACCATCAAACTCAAGATGCAGACTCACAAGTCTCAATGATGTCCAATATTTCTCAAGATAGACTTTGACAGTTGTGATGAGCATGTGAGCACTGCTCTATGCATCTGCACACCAAAGAGGGGAGAAAGGAAGCAGGCATGGAATTGAATACTTTCCCAGCCTTGTGTTGTTTAATTGCACTGAGTCTACAAAACTCATCAATTAGACACGGAATTGTGGTTCCATACTGAGAGGATACCATGCTTAGAGATACCTATCATTTAATTAAAACAACAACAACCCTCAGGAACCTCCAAAGAAGAAACATAAAGCATTTGAAATCTCTATGTACTTTATATCTAGCATCAATTCTGAATCAGGTGTAAACATCAGCATTTTTCCCCTCCCCTATTCCAATCAATGATTTATTTGAAACAGATGTCAAGCTGCTAGTTCTTTTGAAAAGCTTTTGAGTAGTTAATTTCCTGGCCTCAGCCTGGCTCCAAGCTTCAGGATCCAGTTCCTGGTGCTTGTCTGGGAAACCTTAGTTAGAATGCCTCTCCCTCTCCACCTACTATATGGGCATCAGCCAAAATTAGAGGTAAGAATCCATATTGGAAATGCTAACATTACCATTTCATTATTACAGCTTGCAGAGGTCTTTTAAATGTAGGAGGAAACATGGCAATGAAGATGAAAAGCATTTTTACAGAGGAAAAATTCATTTTTTTCTCCCAAACAGCCAAACAAATGTATATAATGTGAACTAAGGAGGAGAGTGAAGTAGCTAACAATTTATTTTCATTTTTTTTTTGTATGGTGGGAGTGAGGAATTTTCATGGCTCCAGGATGTGTAATTAGTTCAGTGGATGAAAAAATGATGGGAAAACAGTTTTGTTCTTCTATGGCTTGAGGAGAGCACTGATTGTTTTATGGCATTTTTTTGTAGAGGAAAAACTCCCCCCTCCAAAAAAAAACAGCGAAACAAATGCATACAAGGTGAACTAAAACCTCCAGGGGAAGGGGAACATAGCTAACGATTTATTTCCTTTCTTTCTTTGTGGTGGGAATGGGAGATTTTCATAGCTCCAAAATGTGTACATTGTTCAGTAGATGAGAAAATGATGAGAAAACATTTTTGGTCTCTTGAGCGCCAATTGCTTTATGGTATTCCTTGCAATTTTACAGTGATTCGTAGGCATAATGTGTGGTATTTTTATTTCTTTATGCTACCCCCTCACTAAACAATTTTTGGGTTGCTTTATGAATATATAGGACAGCTTTAAACTGCTTTGTTAGCATCTGGGGAATGGAAACAGTGCCCTGAGAAATTTGAGTGGATCCTATGTATGTATTATGTCCTGAGGACTCAAGGAGTTCTCACTCAGGTCCACTCACTTTACGTGGGCGTTATTCCCCCCATTCCCATTGGTTGGCTCTCCCCAGCAGCCAGCTATAAAAGCAGGCTGCGGGGTCCAACCGGTTGCTGATTGCTGCGAGCCAGTTCCAGGCTTGGCAAGCACGGTCAGCCCTTTATTGTAAAATAAAGTATTGTTGCACTCATGCTCTGGTTCAGCCTCTCATTGCTCAAACAAAACACTGGCGACGAGGGTGGGATGGCTACCAGAAGCACCTTGCAACCGCTGAGTCACTAGCCACCGATCCACAGCCCAGAGAGAGCGATCGGCTGGCGACAAGGGAAACGCTGATCCGCAGCCAGAGAGAGCGGTCAGCCAACAATACGAGCGATCAAAAAGAGCAAACGCTGATCCGCAGCCAGAGAAAGCGGTCTGATTCAAAGTTAGAAGCGTCTGTAGCCGCTTGTTAGCCCCGCTGCAGGGAAAGTGAAGCGCTGCGAGCCGCAGCCGCTCTGTATGTGGCGCGAAATTCAAACGGGTGTCATTTGAATTTCGGGCCAGTAGGAGACACAGCACAGCGCTGTAGGAAGTCACTAGCGCCCACTTTTTGGCGCGAATCTAGACACCTCCAACGGCTAGCAGCCAACGTGGTAACCCAGAGAGAGAAAGAGAGGGTAGCAAAAAACCTCTCCAGAGCTGATATCACTCACGAGCGCCCGTAGTCCCAGAGAGATTTTTTCCGCAGGTTGCACAGCCGTTCCAGCACCATGAGTTCCAACCCAGTATTCCCGGCGTTTAAACCAGACGAAGAGAAGTGGGAGTCGTATAAGAACCGTTTCAATCATTACATCGATGCGGTCGGCTTGGCGGATGCGGGAGAGCATCGGAAAAAATCCTATTTCCTAATCTACTGCGGAGCCACCGTTTACGATACCGCCGCAGCACTCGTAGCGCCGAGAGAATTGAAAAACGTTCCGTGGTCCGAGTTGCTTGAGGTCCTCACTAACCACTACGCTCCCAGGCCTTCACAAATTGCCAGGAGGTTCACGTTCCGTATGAGGAAGCAATCAAGTAAGGAGACCATCAATCAATATATGGCCGCCCTCAGAACAGCAGCCCTGCACTGCGGGTTTGGAACATACTTGGAGGACATGCTCCTCGATCAATTAGTTTGTGGGGTCAAGGATCTCAACCTACAGAGGCGCCTGCTAGCAAAAAAAGACCTCAACCTCGCGCAAGCGGTCGAGGAGGCCCTAGCAGCCGAGCTAGCAACGAACTCAGCCACCGAAATTCAGGGCCCAAGTGCCAAGCTAGCATCGTTCCCAGTCCATTCCGAAGAGGTGGAAGCGGAGGAAACCCACAACGATGAAAACGACGTCCACCGCCTCGCCAACGACAGACGGTCGCAGGTAGGGTCCAAACAAGAATACACAGGTCCACCCAAGCACATCACATTGTGCCTAGCCTGTGGGGGATCGCATCAAAGGGCCACCTGCAAGTTTAAAGGAGCCACTTGCAACAACTGCCATAAGAGGGGGCACATCGCGAGAGTCTGCCAAGCCCCCCAAAGCGCTGCACACAGACCCCCGTCCTTGCACGCGGGACCACAGAGGCAAGTATTAAACTGTCGCACGCACTGCCTTGCCAGGCGTACTTGCCACACTGTTAGTAAAATTTCTCTCTCCGTTTCCCTAGAAGGTAAACCGTGCCACATGGAGGTTGACACAGGGTCAGCGCTCTCAATAATCTCGTGGAACACCCTCAAGAGACTCCACCCCAGCCTATCTACTACCCGGCTTCAGAGATGCCAGTTCGGTCTGAAGGACTACCAGGGGAAGGCCATTCCCGTGATCGGCAGAGGCAAGTTCTTTGTCAGTTTTAGAGCTTTTAAAGGCCACCTACCTCTAGTGGTAGTTAACGGCAATCTACCCACCTTATTGGGGCTCGATTGGTTTCCCCACCTCGGCCTAGGGTTAACAGGAGTCCATGCTGTCTCAACCTCAGACACTGACTCCTTATTCGCTGACTACGCAGATGTGTTCAGCGAGGAGCTGGGGTGTTATAATGGCACCCCCATCTCATTCACCTTTGACCCCCAGGCAGTCCCAATCAGATTAAAACCACGTAGAGTTCCATTTGCTATTCGACCAAAACTAGACGCTGAATTGGATAAACTACTAAAACAAGGGGTCATTGAGCCAACAGATTTCGCCAAGTGGGAGACGCCCATCGTCACACCCCTTAAAAAAGATGGTAGCCTGAGAATTTGCTCGGACTACAAGACAACAATCAATAAATATTTACAAGTTAGCGCCTACCCTGTGCCCGTCATTCAGCACTTATTGCACACATTCGAGCCGGGCAGTATTTTTGCTAAATTGGACATGTCTCAAGCATATCAGCAGTTCCCTGTTGATAACCAAACAGCGGAACTTCAGACCATCGTCACTCACAGGGGTGCCTTCCGATGCAAGCGTCTCCAATTTGGCGTAAGTGTTGCCCCGGGTATTTTTCAATCCCTCATGGAGCGGATTTTACAGGGCCTCCCTGGTGTAGTACCCTACTTCGACGACATCTTGGTCTCGGCCAGGGACAGACCCCAACTCTTCCAGAGAGTGCGAGCAGTGTTAGAAAGGTTCAGACAGCATGGCCTCAAGTTAAAAAAAGAAAAATGCGCCATTGCCACTAGACAGGTGGACTTTCTGGGTTATAAAATTGACGCATCTGGCATTCACCCCCTGGAGTCCAAGGTTAGAGCAATCCACGAAGCTCCCACACCAACCTCCAAAACGGAGCAACAAGCTTTCCTAGGGCTGCTGAACTTTTATGCATCCTTCTTGCCCCATAAAGCCTCAGTAGCCGAACCCCTACACAGATTACTAGACAAAAAGTCACCGTGGCACTGGGGGCACAAAGAAGACCAGGCGTTTAACGCCGTCAAATCACTACTTACGTCAGAGGCAGTGCTCACCCAATTCGACCCCAACCTTCCTTTAGTACTGGCAGCAGACGCATCCCCTTTTGGAATTGGGGCGGTCCTTAGTCACAGACTCCCCAATGGCGCCGAGGCCCCCATCGCCTTTTTCTCCAGGACGCTCTCGGCCACGGAGCGAAATTACAGCCAAATAGACAAGGAAGCCCTAGCAGCTGTTGCAGCCGTGAAAAAGTTTCACGAATTCCTTTTTGGCCATTTCTTCGAACTGGTCACCGACCATAAGCCCCTCCTGGGCCTACTGGCCGGCGACAAACAGACACCTCAAGTCCTTTCCCCTAGAATGACAAGGTGGACACTTTTCCTAGCGGCCTACTCATACAAACTTATTCACCGCCCGGGCAAAACTCTATCCCACGCCGACGCTCTCAGTCGCTGCCCCTTACCCGCTCCGGCTGAAGACCCAGCTCCTGTCAACGCCATTTTTGAAATCACCCAGTTGGACCTGCCCATCACCGCCCTTGACATCGCCGCTAAAACCAAGGCAGACCAAACGCTCGCCCAGGTGCTCGACTGGGTGAGGAGGGGGTGGCCGGGAGGCAACGTTGATAACAAATTTGC